GATTCGAACCGCGACCCTCAGATTGCGAGTCGAGCGCCCTAACCACCTGGCCATGCCGTGCCCCTGCAGGTAAATAAATAAACAAAAAATCAACTTTTGTCAACTAAAACTTTCAAATCAAAATTTTTTCATTGAACCACTGAATGATTCCTGAAATTTGAATCTACTAGTTACTCATTTACAGTGACATGATATATTGCCCAGTATGTACGACAATAAAATTTATAAACAAGTTAATTAATCAGATAAATATTAATTCCCCAAGTCTGTAGTACTTGAAAGTTTTGTTCCTCACGTAAGAACGGTCTTCAACAGAATCGATAACCCTGCTATAAGCCTAACATTTAGAATACACTAAATTACCTTGTTGCAGTTCTGAGTTTCCTTTAGATTATACACGGAGTTTTTAACCGCGGCTAATCGGCTCATAGTTCGGCTCTGAGTTTGTTTTGTTTTACAAGTACAAACATTTAGCTCATAGCTCCGTCATCTCTTGGCCGAGTTGAGAGTCTAATTACATTTTTGTACTCAGGAGGTCCAACCCTTTCGATTCGTGTATTTGATTATGTATAAGGTCCCATATATTAATTTATTATAATCTTGCCTAAAATGATTTCAGTTTTAGGGTAGGCTGGTAGAGATCCTGATGAGTAATAAAATTGAATCAGGTATACGCGTGCCCCAAAAATGAGCTAATAAAAAGAAGAAGAAAAAAAGGTTTCATAGGTTAATTTACTCTAACCCTGTCTAAAAGAATTTCAAGTGCTAACACTATTGAGGATTCCCTCTTGGTTTTTTTTCTCTATGAACTAGCTGTGTTTCTTATCCAGTTTTCTTACAAATATAAAGGTAGTTAAGAATAAAATTTAACGTAACTAACATCAATTTTATTTAAATATTATAATATCTTGTACTACAAAATGAGCAAAGATCGTGAACTTTACGAGGACGAATTCAGAAATAATTACAATGGGCTTATGTATATCGTGTGATTTTAACTTTAGAAGTGCCCGAAGTTGTTTACTATATTTGAATACAATTTCAGTAAACAGCTAAATCACCCGAAGTGGCTCACGTCATTTAAACTTCAGTAACTGAGTTGCTTCAATAGTGCAGAACTGGGGTTTAATTTTCAGTAAGCATGTAAACGATCTAATGTAATTAACATTAGAGTATCTTCAGTACACTTAAAATATTCTATGTCCTTATGCCTTTAGCTTCAATAAGAATAGAAACAACCATTTGTGTTGTATCCCAGTAAGGTTTCACTGAAGTTCGAAAACCATAGATTTACGTAATTTCAGTAAGCCTCGAAACCATGGTAATTGTGAATGGAATTCAAACAGAAGTCGAAAGTGTTTGCCATGAAACAATTGAGTGCGACAAATCAAATATTTTTCATTCTTCAGATAAAAATAAGTGAAACAAAATAATACTTCGGATTTCAAGTAATTGTTCCTTATAGTGTATTTTTTCATTGTGTGTTTAAAGAATTTCGAATAAACTAGCGGCACTGTGTGGTTTGTTTCTTTGTTTTTCTAATTTCGCATAAACCTACTTCAAGGCTATCTGCATAAATCTTCTTTGATTTTGAAGTGATAGACTTGACGGAAGGCATATGGTCAATACTACCCCACCGTTAACTCTTGGGTTGAAAGGGCGAGCATTTTCGGGAATGGGTTTCGATCCCGCGATCCGCAGATTGCCAGTCGAATGCTTTTATGATCAGGTCATGCAAGGTCAGACACTGTATGGATAGACGTTCATGGATGTGGTAGCCCTGTTATAACACATCACCTAGAATAAGCAATATTACAAGAATGAAAAGTTCAAATATTTTTTTACATATGTTGTTTATCGTTAAACTCGAAAGTTTGTTGATAAGAAGGTGAGATTTTTTTTTTCAACATACCAAACCTTAAACATCTATTTTTGTATTTAATGTATTGTAAGATACATTACTCAATTAAGTTATTTAAAGGTCCAAGAATAGTCTGGTGGTTACTTGCCCAGACTGTGAATTCAAGAGCTCATGCTTTTCGCTCGTTTTGGCAAAAATGCGCTCTGCACTTTCTGACGTTGGGTGAGCTATAAGAGTGACCGTAAAATCCCACTATTCGCTCAGATACAAGAGTAGTGGGTGCTGTTGGCTCGCTGCCTTTCTATGTGTAGTTTTGTTCGAAAATTTCTAAGAAAAAAAGTAAATAGAACCAATCCATGCCTGCAGATCTTAACTTATTAATAAATGTGCAGATATATATTTCTTTCTGACGGAGAATTTTATACGATGCCGTTACTAAAAACTATAAATTAGTGTATTTTTTTCTTTCAGGTAGCGTTAAAGTGTGCTGATCTATGTAATCCGTGCCGACCATGGTCTATTTCTAAACAGTGGAGTTATCAAGTGTGCGAGGAGCTTTACCAACAAGGTAGACGTAGGAAAATGAAATCAAATCCCAAAGACTGACATGAAATTGAAAAATACATAATTTAACAAAGAAGCCCAGATAACTCCTTTGTTTTCTAAGCAAATTGCTTAATAATTCACAACGTATTTCTCTCTAGAATTCGGCGAAATCGTAAAGTTGTCTCGGAAATAAACAATGATAAACTTGTCAATCAAGCGTTTTGTTTCATTTTTCATCCAATAATCATAAACTAAACCATCTGGTAGTGAAGTAAAATTCACTGTTATAGATAAAATATCTTCGAAAATGTATGATATGCGGGATTCCATTTTGCTATTAAAATACTATCCACCAGAGGGTGCTGAATAAATATTAATATGAGTTTAGTAATATGAAATATATTGTATATTGGAAAAGAAGCTACCCCCCCCCAAAAAAAAAGAACAAATCAAAAGTATTAATGTTGTGCTATGAAATTTTCCTGAAAGTTACCTGAAATGGTCACTTCAGGGGACTCTAAAAGCTACAGGTAACGATTTATATACCTGTATATTGTCTTCTATAACTTAATGCGTTTTCAAAATAAATATACGTTTTGATAGCACCATCTTGTTATTTGGAATCATCACGTGAATCTTCTTTATAAATGTAAGTTAACCAAAGCTTGGATTTCATCCTTTCACTCCTTATGGAAATAGTGTACACGTTTGTGCAGGGAGTACAGTTTTAACTGTAAATATCTATTATGTCGTGACTTTTATTTACGTGAATATTAAATGTTTTCTTCTTCTTAGTACTTAAATCAACACAGGGCTTGCTTAATAATCGATGGTGTTAGGAGAATGACATCTTTCGAAACATTAACATTTTGCATGTTATGTCAGAAATAATAGTATGAATGTTTGCTCCAATTTCTGATGTATAAGTTTAGTGTTATCACACAAACTCAGTAACATTTTTACATTCATCAACAAATATTTCCCAAGTAAATGTGGGTTACTATACTTGGAAAAGAACAATCAATTATAAACTAATTAGAAGATGCCCGTTGAAACAATTTAACTTAATTTTCCTAAAAAATAGTGATTAATAAATATAAAATGTGCATCAACTCAATCCCTTGGATCAGAGCGTATGTACAATATGATTGTCATTCCATGAGCTATTTCTGTAACGAAAATTGTATTGTGTCTGTTTTTAAACAAAGGAGACTGACTATAATGCATTATTGGCAAAATTTTGGGGTTTCTATGCAATGAGGACATCTAGCACAATAGAGCGCTAAGGTTCGCTAAGTGGCCGCGGTGATTTTTTTCGATGGACACCGCCCTTCCTTGTCATTTTGCTGAGCGCCAGAAAAGAGAGCTATCGAAGTGAGCGCTTTTTGACATTTTTCATTTCTATAAGAACTGTCAAAGGGGAGGTATTCAGTTCATTTCAAATCAATTTATTCGTCATGTTACAATACAATCATGTATGTATATTGTACCGACATGAAAGAAAAAAAAATTAAACTGAAAACCAACAAATATATATACATACACGATCTTCTCTTTATGCGTTTTTTTTTTTCGTTTATGCTCCTATCTTCGAAATATTTATTTCAATCAGCCGACGGGAAGTCCGGTTCTTTATCGTGAAATTCCACCACAAAAAAGAAACATATTTGTTTTTAATAAGATCTTTCTCAGATTGACCGTTCAGCACATACAAAGACTAATGAGTCGATGTTGATATTGATGTGAAATTTTATGAAGTGCACTGAATATTAAATTGATGCTTCACTTTGTATGCATTTACAGGTGATATTGAAACAGAACTATCTCTTCCCATAACTCCTGTATGTGATCGAACCAAAACATCTGTTGCAAGAATACAGACTGGTTAGTGTCATTTTTCTGGATTATTACGTTATATTCTTTATCAAAGTGTGGCTAATAAAAATCAATAAATGGAGGTAATAGTTTTTGAAATTCTTAAAGAGTCTGATGTATTTGTAATTAGATTATTTTTTTTAAAACAGAATTTCGTATTCATTGATCTCTAGAAGACGTATTATGAGTTATGATAATGTTCATCTTAAAAGACATTTCTTAGTATTTTTGATCTAGTTTTTTAAATGATAATTCATTACGAAATCTTCTTTCGGTGAATAAAATTATTACTCTCAGCTTTCGTACTATTTATTGATTTGTATTTTGGAATTTCAGATTTCTTACGTTTCGTTGTAACACCGTTGTTTGTAATGTGGCATAAGATCTTAAGTAGTCCTTTGTCCCAAGAATTGATGCAACACTTACACCATAACCAAATAAGGTGGGATGAGTTACTACAGTACGAACTCGAACAGTTAGATGAAATGAGCTCAGTATCAGAAGAAGCTGCAATGGACGATTATGCGCTATTAGTCTTAGAAAAGGATAACTTCAGTACTTTACTCAAAGAAGGTTTAATAGTGACCAGATTCTTTAATGATGTCAATGCGACGTAGAAATAGTATGCCAATGAAAAGCACCACTTTAGTGCCAAAGACTACATTTCGCAGACAAAGTTTTCCACGTATCTTGGTGTCCCAATCAAAGGATCTGCCCACTGGGTGCATTCATTTACTGTCACAAAACAATTCCACATCCTCATCAGACGTTACAGCCTCCAGTTTTCTGGAAAATAGAACAAGTATTGTCTCTTTAACCAGTGAGTTTAACCTTATAACTTCGCATAGACTGGAAGATGAAGTGGTCACTGATCAATTAGATATTTTGCAAAGAAACAGTGTACGGATCCCTACCTCTAAGAATCTGACAAATAAAGATGTTGGACAATCTAATAAATTAGACTTCCAAAATCTAACAATGAAAAACTCTATTTCTAAAAAATGTAGTGTTTCTTCTCTTAAAGAAGATTCAAATATCCTAAGTGAAAGAACCAGTTACAACAACACCAATAGTTCCCACTCAGATTGTGATAATGGTTGTTGCTCATATTTTCCGATAGTTCCATACCAGATACCAAGCAAAGAACTATAACCACGAAATGAGTTCTATAAAGAATAAATATCGATCAAGACTTACAAACTTGCTTCCTCATGGTTGATGCATTTTCAAGATCTAAAATATAACGAAAATACTTCGTTTCACGTTGAATCTCCCACCATTCCAGAAAATGGTTCACCTGGTTCTAGACATATAATTAAATCAGTGAACTTTCCACTACATTCACCTTTTACAGCCCTACGGATCAAGACATCTCATGACGTCGATGTATCTTCCAGCCTAGAAAGTTTTGATACAACAGATGATGAACAAATACTTCCTTGTTCACCATTCTAGATAGCTTATGTGACAAAACTAAGAAAAACAACCTGATACACAGTACTTTACTAGCACATGTAAAATACTTAGAACCTAGTTTTGTAACGTGTAATCTAAAGCAACGTAGTTTTGACTTTTACTATTGTTCTCAGTAATCTATAGTCCAGGACAAAGATTCAATAGCTAAAAATGGTAACTCCAGTTAGAAATGAAGGTTCTGAAGGCTCAAATCACCTTAATAGGTTATTGGCTTCCTGAAATCTATAAGTTATATATAGGGTTTAAATGAAATTATTCAACTTCATATAGGGTTAAATGTTAGAATCCGGAAACCTTTGCAGTTTTCCTGGACCATGGAAATAAAACAAATGTTGGTAACTTTCTTTCTTACTGTTTGAGTTAAAATAAACCATACTAGTGTAATTTTGCCTATAAAGAGTTTTGAAATTGTTATACATCTGTGTGTGTATATACATATATATAGACATACAATATTGGAAACAAATATGGAAAAGTGAGTGAAATAAGTTGAAAAGTTTACACTGTTGTTTTGCCGTCAACCAACCAACCATACAGTGTCGTAATACCTATGAAAGTACAGGTATCATACTATTCCCAGAAGTAGTGTGATAATACACTCATGGCTCCAAGAATTGAAATGTTACATGACAAATGTGTAGAAATCAAGGTTTCCCCTGCTTATGGCCTCTAAATGTGAGAGATTAAGGCGGAATTTCATATTTTACTAGAAGTTATATGGAAACTTTGAAAAGGTACATGAAACTGATGACAGAGGCGGTTCAGGTAGAAAGCCTAAATCGTATGTTATGTAAGTCAGGGTTTATATGACTGTTTGTATGATCCACGACACTCCAATAAATAATTTGAGAATGTAAGTACAGGTGTGAGTGTTATCTCTAGAACATAAAGATATACATTAGCACGATGTGGCTTCACTGACTTTGTAGTTGCTCAAAGAGATTGCTTAGGAGGAATAACCAAAATAAAAGGTGAAGTGAATACCAAACTTCAAACAATGGGATGGAGCCAAAATGGAGGAGGAGGAAGCTCTTTACGGGTGAATTTAAATTCGAATTTTTGGTAACAATTATTGACAGTTTGCTCAATGCTAGAGATGATAATGATATCATTGTTCAATGAAGCATACGAGTGTGACGTGTATCTCAGTCAATGGTGTTATAGATCTTCACAAAAATGATGATACCTTGACTGCTGATGGGTACAAGGAAGAGTACACTTCTCAAGCTTTGCTCATTCCACTGTTTGTGGTCTGATGTCCATTTCAACCGTTTGATTACCTCTTGTCAACAATGGTTTTGAGCAACTGTACGTCCATTGAGACAATTTCGTGCTAAATTGTATCTTACTGTTGTCGAGGTAATACTCACGCCAGTATTTATATCAAATTGGTGGGTAAGATATGTACTCGACCGTCGTCTATCTCGCAGAGAACATACCCTGAGACACTTAACATCACATTTGGAGAGTTTCAGTTTTTTACCTCGATCACTTATATCATTAACATTGCCAGTTTCACGCGTTCTCCTCAGAGTGTTACAGTACAGTCCCTACTGAAACATGAAATCTTGCTACAATTTTTCCGCATAAGAAAACTACTAGTAATGAGCATAGTATGACACCTTGTATTTGGTTAGACTTTATACTGGTATGGCACTCTCTGATTGGTTGGATGACAACCAATCACAATATGAATTATTAACATATTACTGTTCCATGGTTCAACGCATTTTCACATAATATGGGAATGCCATTCCTATAGTATATGCCTTTTATGCCCTTTTTTCTTGCTGTTTCCATAATGTTTTATAATACCATGCATTTTGATTTTTTTTAATAATCATTGTCTTAATCCACGTGTAGCAGTGCTGACACTAGCTGGGGATTTATTGGGTCACCATTTATGACTACTAAATCATTGGAAGCCATAAATTATTTTGTAATGAGCATTCATCACATTGTATGTGGTATTATTGTTTAATTGTTTTAGTAATTTGTTCTATTGCATATTAATGCAAGCTATTGTTATCATGAACAAATGGAGAATTGTTTGCCATATTGCTTTTACAGATAGTGTTTACGTATGGCTGTTTAGCTGCCGACAAAGAGCGATAGCATTGTTAATACCAAAATTACAAGTTAAAGACAGAACATATGTTTTCTATAACCAAAGCAAACAATGCTGACCGTTAAAATCTAGTTCTCCAGTTCCTCACTATGTATTAATACCAACAAAGAATTATGTGATTTGTTTTAATCTATTTGTTGTTAAGCACAAAGCTACATAATAGGTTAGTTGTGCTCTGCCCACTGCACATATGAAAACCAAATGTTTAGCATTATAACCCCTCAAACTTACCGCTCAGCCACCGGGGAGGGCTTGTTATAGTCAACTTCAAAAAATAGTCTAGATCATCTAAGATAGTGTGATAAGCTCGCGGCTATAATAGTTAAACTAGTACATAGCTGTATTATATATGTAATCAACTACTGTCATTAAAGGATATTAGTAACAGAGTATTTGGATGAAACTGAATTATATGTTTCGTAACTGGTATCAAAATATTTGTAAGGTTGTAACGCCATTATATGAAACTACAGACATAATTCATTAAATTGACATTGTGTATCACGAATAAGCTCTAGAGATAGACCCATCACAAGTAAGAAGGTGTTGTTATTTTTGGGGTTTTTAGTGCAAAGGTGCACGATGGGTTATCTGTGCTCGTCCACCGTGTGGAATCGAACACCAGATTTTAATATTGTAAGTCCATAACCGCATCGCTGACCCACCAAGTGGATCACAAGTAAGAAAAATTCTAGGCCTATTGAAATTCCTCAGACTTGTTGACATATGCATATAAAATATTCCGGAGAGGAGGCGCAATAAAAAGTTTTTCAAGTCACCAACAAGAAATTTTGAACCTCAGATATAGTATTAAATACTTTGGTTTACTTCAACATTATTCTCAATTTTAGAATGAAGCTTCACAATGGATTATTTGTGCACCATGGGAATCGAACCTATACAATTCAGCTGGCATTGTTCAATTTAAGAAATAATTCTATCCGTCTAATTATTCACCGAATTTTAGGTACCAAGGTCATCTCTAAGGCGCTAAAAGAAAAATAAACTCCGTAGAGAAGAGTTTTTCATCAATCTTCAACATTACAAAAACATCATGTTCAATTTCAGAATCACGTAATAGCTTTGAGCCATTGTGAGATAACATACCGGAAGATATATTTAAATGAAGATCAGAATCACATAATAGCTTTGAGCCATTGTGAGATAACATACCGGAAGATATATTTAAATGAAGATCAGAATCACATAATAGCTTTGAGCCATTGTGAGATAACATACCGGAAGATATATTTAAACGAAGACTTTACAATCCTAAATCTACACAAGGCAGAAAGAAAATTAAAAACACAGACCCCTTATTGAATTACTGTTTATTAATAACAAATGCTGGTTTTTATGATTTTTTTTATATTAGTTTAAGTGTCAAAGCAATATCGTGTAACCTCTTTAATTAATAGGCCAGTCATGATCAAGTTGTTAATATACTCGGACTGTGAATCTGAATTTTCATGGTTTGTAGTCCGCTACTGTAAAAACGCGTTCCATACTTTTGAATCAGCCAAGAGTAGCTTAAGATTTGGCTATTGGTGGTGTTTACTAGCTGCCTTCCCTCTAGACTAACACTTCAAAATTAGGAAGGGCTAACATAGATAGCCCTCGGATAGCATTGCGCGAAAATCCACAAAACAGCAACAAAAACAAGCTTTGCCGAAATAAAATTATTTTCATACATTTTTGAAAATGAATAATAAAATGAGTAGTGAATGTAAGACAAAATTTTCATTTGGCAACATGCACGTAAATTTCCAAACATATTGAGTTAAACTGCAAATGGCCTAAAAGTGGCAAAGTGGGAGAAAGGTCGACCTTTTCTTTTTGGTCTGTCTGGAAATGGGTATTTTGTCAGATAAATAAAAAGAAAACAAGTAAGAAAATACAACTCAGTAATTTGATCTGGTCCCAGAGTTATTTTGCGCCCAATCAAATACATACACGGAACACGTGCTTAGCATTTGTATATTTATTGATATAAGCCTAATTCTATTGTACTTGGCTCGAGATTGACATGCTTGTTTTCAGAACTGTACATGTGACGTGATTTATTTGATTTTAACACAAGAGTGAAATGGCCTGCTTCCATGGTCTTGGTGCCTATTATTTTCAAATCAAAACATTCTGCAAGATAATACTATTACGACATTAAGTGTTTCAAGTTTTTATATTGATATGGTAGTATTGTTGCCTGTAGTATGTACGTAGTATATTTTTGAAACGTAACAAGTGCCTGGGCGTTTCTCAGTATTATTAGAAGCCACGTGGTCTTGATAGTTCGAGAATTAGGGTTGAAATTGTGAATATGAGAGGTGCATAGAATTTCTAAGCTATTTTCAGTAACACTGACTAAGTTGACTGTAACAGTCATTTCTATAGATCTCAAGAAGCAGCGAAAAATTCCGATTTGTTTTTCAAGGCACAGCTCAATGAATATCACAAAAATTGAGTATTGGATATGAAAAGTGTAGTGTTTGCAGAGACGTAGCTACGGGTATATTTTTTGTAGGGGGCGGTGAACGACCACCCCAGTATTCCAAAAAGTCTTCTGAAAGTCCACTGTCTTCTATTTCTTTAAACTTACACTTCAATTTCACGTAAGTCGCTTAAATTATTTTTGTTGAAAAATAGGAACACGTTTTTTATTTTTTGGAAACAGATCTCCATTTCCCTTTGTAGTGATGGCTACTCTCCTCTTTGTTTTAGAATTACCAGTTGGATAACTTCGAGGAAGATACACTTAAAGATGTCATAAAGCTGACAAGTTACCACTTGTATTCTCAGCTATATCAAACTGTCTTTATAACAACACAATACGAATTTTGCTGAATTTCATTTAAGAAAATGTTAAAGTCCCGACTGGGTGAGAGTTGTTCAGGTCGAAACAAAAAGTCAAGGCATCAGAAGACAAAAAGAAGAACAAGTTGGTGACGAAACTGAGATCAGAGTTATCCTTTCTGAAAACAACAACATTCGTTGTCGATTCTGCTGTTGATAGAACAGAAAGTTTTAGTAGTTTCACTGTTACAAAACCGTTAGAAGTTAAAGATCATATTCTATAAACACGGCTAGATAGTCAACAGAATAATAAAGAGATTGCTAACGATGTCACGGTATTTGATCCAAATGGAAAATTTCCATCCGATACATTTCACCTTCTGGGGAGAAAAATGCCAGATAAGCCACAAAGAATGTTTTTTTCTTCAATATCAACCCTACCAGCAAAAGGAAGTTGAATTGGATCAGGGATTTCAGAAGCACAAATTCAGGAATGTATATTACTCATTTTATGAATCATGATATTTCATGCTGGATAGGGTTGGAGTTCCTATAACTCGCCGTAACAAGAAAATGGTAATCCTATTTACCAAATATTTGTTCTGTATTCAGTCATATTTGTCTCCTGCTTAGAAACAGTGGATGAGGACTCATGCTTTACAAGAAGGGAATTCTTGTACTGGAAGGATAGGAAAAACTAGTAGAATAGCACAAGCAGTCAAACACTTTCCTGGACCCTGTCATTGATGCAGCTAATTATGCTACTCAAAAGCCTATAAACATTTTACTGAAGGTGTAAGCTAGGCAAGAAAAAATTCGTTGCCATATCTAATTGGCATTATTCTGTTTCAAACAAATCGAGGTTTGCCTTGTCGTGGACACGAAGATGTTGGAGATGTTCCTTTGAATCACGAAAAATGTGTGGAACTCGTGACAAGTATTACAGAGTGCTTGAGATACGTTTGGAGAAACGCAAGATGAAAATAAGGCTAAAGGTTTGAAGAATAAACACTGTGGCTCTGGTTAAACCGTTACTTTCATAGTCCTGATGTCAAAAACAGACCTATTTCAAATATTTCTCATGAAATACCCCAAGCTATAGCTAGCGAAGTTCAAAATGAAGGATATTTCAGCATCAACGTATAATGGCCTGCTGATATTGTCCATCAAGATCAAGATACGATTGTAATCAGGTATGTCAGAGCTGATCAGTGCATTGTGGAGAACGTACTCGAAGTGGAGCACGATAAAGATTCGTCAGATGAGAGTGTGTTTAACATTCTGAAGAGTGCCCTGGGAGTTGACCTACAATATGCAGTTGGTCAGTCGTATGAGGTGCTTCGTTAACGTTAAGACAACATGCCAGTGTCAGAGCATTAGTGAACAAGATTGGCTCTATACTTCGACATTTGACCATGCACTGACTCCAGTTACAATGCAGTCGTGTAGTGCCTTTTTGCCAGCTAAATGACTGTTTGGCCTCTTGTGTAAGATGCACAACTTCCTCACTACATCTTATAAGAAAAGTGATGTTCTTGTAGAAGTGCAGACATATATAGTGCAACATATCCCCAATTCTCTGGCCACAGAAGGTGTTAACTACTTGTTAGTGGTCCTACCAGCATTGGCTAATATGTCCTTTTCATGCAAGGAAAAGGTTTTAGAGTGCTATATAACTGCTCTTCAGGAATGTTTGTCCACGGGCCACAGTCCGGAAACTGTATCTGAGGTGGAGGGACTTCAAAAACCTCGCTTCATTTGAAACTATCATTCAATTAATTCCAGAAAAATTTGGACTTCGGAGATTCTGCGTCAGACTTTCTTTTATCTGAAAACATTAAATTTTTACACAAAAAAACCTTGCTGGAACTCAGGAACAAGATCAATGCACACAAAGAGCGATGCAAATTCAATGTTTCTTTCTGTAAATCACATGACCTTGAGGAAGTGCAGTTTCTGAAGTTCGATTCCGCAAGAGGAAAAGAATGGACGATGAAATGACTCACAGTAAAGTTGTAACCAGTGTAAAAGAGGGATTTAGAATAAACCCACATTTGCTTAGCATTGATACATCTGTAAACTGTATGAATAAGAGTTTTTCATAAATCAACAATAAATTTTATCTGACTTTACCTTGCTCAGTCCATTTTGTTTCTCTGAACAGGACATTTTTTTTCATGTGTGTGCTCACAGGTACTTCAGTAAAAAAACTTCTCCAAGGCGTATCCAAGGCTGACAAAATGTGCATTTAGAAGTTTAGACATACACCATGGCCATCATTGTCTAATGTCACCCAATGCCTCCTTCTAGTAAGTACACCAAAATCTTGGAAGTTCTGGACTGTGTTTGCTTTCGTGAATCTCTACTAAATGTATAGAATTATCGTGACGTTACCAGTTGGCTCAAACAGATGTCAATACTGCTTCTCTATTAAGAAGCTGATCAAGACCCATTTGCGTTACATTGTGTCATCCGATGGGCTATCTTCTTTGACAATGAGTGCTGTCAAAAGACCTGTAATCCGACTTGGAGAAATTGAACCCATTTCAGTATTCTCTCTTTTC